ATTCACATGCAAGTTTTAATAGCTAACTGACCATTAACCATTTTCCAGAGCAAGATATAACTGCCCAATTTCATGAAGTTGGGCCTACTGTACTATGATGAAAATATACCTATTCTGTTTCAAAATTCAAACCTCAATATGCAAATACTAATTTTATTTTAAAAATATGATCGGTGATGAGAGTTTTCTAATTTTTTTCCTTTTTTAATAAATGGAGCTTTTAATGGCCGTATTTGCATATTTTCTGTATAAAATCAGTATGAAATCGTAAATGAAATTTAAATGGCAGACATTGCTGCATATATAAAAAACACAAAACTGAAGAAACAAACTAATTAAGTGGTAGTTTATTAAGCATTTTTACCAATTTACTCTAATCTTGTTACTGTTATCAGTGAAAATTAATTACAATGTATAGTTTCAGATGTGCTTTTTAAGTCATACATCCAAAATACACTGCATATACTTCAAACACACATATACTATGTATGAATAGAATGGGTATGAATATAATTTTTTTTATAAATTTTTTATATGCATACAAAATATGTTGATACTCACAAATAACACATATTTTTCAACTTGAAAATAATGCATTGCTTAAAACTTTTAAAAGCATACCAAGAAATAGAGCATATCATTAAAACAAGATAATGCATCTCTCTCTCTCTCTCTCTCTCTCTCTCTCTCTCTCTCTCTCTCTCTCTCTCTCTCTCTCTCTCTCTCTCTCTCTATATATATATATATATATATATATATATATATATATATATAATTTTTATTGTTTCGGTCTCACTTCTCCCTGTTTAACTCCCACTTTTTCCTGTTTAGCTCCCACTTCTCCCTCTTCTGACCAAAAGGAAAAGTCATTTCTCCCTAAAAATTTAAGTATAGCTTGACCCCTGGAAAGGTGTATGTGATAGGCACACCATTGAGTCCAACCTGATTTTGCCACTAAAAAAAAATGTGACAAAGGATACATATATATGTAATTTGCATTTTATTGGTGAAATGGACCCAACAAGGAACATGCCAACCCAATTAAATTGGGAATTATAGTACCAAATTTTTATTTTCTTACTTATAATTTCTCCAACAGAGTTTGTATCTAGAGGAATTGGCATAGCCAGGATGCCATCAATAATAATAGTATTAATAAATTAATTTATTAGTTAACTAAAATAACAAATAAGTGTATAAACTCAACAATGCAATAGTAGAATAGTAAAAATATCAAGATATGTTAAAATGCATGAATATTTAAATGTTACCATATTTTTACAAATTATTTTGAGAAATGTTGACTTGTTAGAATAAAATGTGAAAACACAGATGTGATGTTATTTTAACTTTACAAAGCATGGACACACTTTACAGTTTTACCATGTAAGCATGTATTTACAAAATTATGGAATACCAAGAACAGTATTAGTGTTAATAAACTGAGTGCTATTCATTCTTTTCATTATAAACTTTTTTCTTATTTTCTTCTGTACATTTTGTTGTTCAGATGCAGCAGAAGAGAAAGCCAGTCTTAGACTCTGACAAGAACTGCAATAATAATAATAATAATAATAATAATAATAATAATAATCAGAAGAAGAAGAATAGCAAAAATAATCATTAACACATATAACAGTAATTTTTATTACTTAATACCCATGCAGTTATGATAATTACTGGGATTATTTGCAATAATAATAATAATAATAATAATAATAATAATAATAATAATAAGTAAAAGATTAACAATAGCAAAAAAAACCCCCAGATAACAGTAGCTTTTATTACTCATACATCCATTCAATTATAACCAAATTTATGGGAAGATTTGTGATAATATTAGTACAGAGAGGATAATAAAAGCATTGGAGAAATAACACTAATAATAAGAACAATAATAAATTGCACTTGTAAACTTGAATATCAACATAATGGTTGGTGTTATGAAGTGCCATATTGTTTCAAATGGTACAAAACCATACAAGAATGTACAGTTATAGATCAAACACATCAAAGTTACTTCTGGTTTGTATGATCAATGTATACATGATATATACAGCAGCATGCTTTTTCCGTTTTGGCCTCAATGTTATAACCATCGCTGTAACTGAATATTGGAATGTTCTTCTATATTCAGATGAACAAATTTAATGCTTTGTACATCATTTTCAATAATAACAATAATACAAGAAAGAATAGTATCTGGCCATTATGTTGGTTAGCAATGTCCGAAAATCTTTTTAGAAACTGATTTCACTATGCATGATGTATCAGAGGTAAAAAGTACAGGTGCCATTCTGCGTATTGGTAACGATATGTCATTTCAATATAGTATCTTATGTTATTTTGACGCAAAAATCAATTATGTATAAAGAAAGAATGGTCATACTTTAACTAAGAAAAGTGATATTCATAAAGTGTACAAAAAAAAACCACATTTTGAATTTGAAAATGTGATTTCTAAATGTCAACAGGAAGACCCATTCCATGATTTTCTTGTATCTGTAACCCAGAAAATCCTATCTACTATGTATCTTAGAATCAGACAAATAAATACATTATATAAATGATGAAAATTAAGGCATAACCGATTAGCATTTTTCTACCGATTTCTTATTCCAGATTTTCAGCATGAAATTTTTCCAATAACAAATAAGATTCAATTAATCAGAAATGCTAAATTGAAATGCTTTTCAAATTAACATTTTCAACCATATTACACACATTTTGCACATCACACCGATATCACAAGGGAAGGATATGGCAGGACTATAGCAAAATGTAAAATATGTTAGATATCATTTATTCATTGATTTAACCATAATGATCTGTAAAACAGCTAAGATTCTGAACTATCTGGAACTATAATTTTTTGTGGGCATGTACATTGGAATTAAGAGAGGTAATTTTAAATGCTACGATCAGTAACTCTATTGCAACTGTGAAATGCCCAATAGAAATTCAACTTTGTTATTTTTATTATCCGAATCAGTCATTCCTGCCTTGTCCAACTCTGATTAATCGGAAGTTCATACTATCCAGTAGAATCCAATTTCCAGATCAAAAGTCGGTTATGCCCTAATGGAAATATATACTTTATAAAAATTCTGCATCTTAATCCAAGTTTCCAGTTTTGCAAGTTGTTCCACATGTACAAAATCAATTGCTACCCAACATGTCAACTCGCCACTAGAATGGGATTTTCAAGAAATTCCCTGGCATATAGTCTGCTTTTAAATTCTTTAGTAATTTTTCCCCATAAACATGACAATGTAAACTATAACATCCTTTTCATTGTTGTTTCTCTTCCACAATATAGCTTATATATTATAAACTGTTGAGCTTGACTAATTTTTTTTTTTTACAAGATGGGTTTAGTTTGCCTGATATCTCTTGCCATTTATTGTCATTGTTTCATTGAATTTTGTAAAACCAGCTATAAACCTAATTTAATTACATGACTGAACTGCTGACAGAAACAATCCTAAGTAATGTATTTTATTTCTGTAGCTGGATGGATAAACATAGATATTTTCAAAGCTGTGCACAGAATAGGCTGACATATAGTCATGAAGACATGGTGTGCTATCTCACGTGTCCAAAATTAATGTTATTTTGAAAAGAATATAATGGTGACATTTCCTCTTTTCAAATGGTAAGCTTTGCAGTATTTTTTTCATAAATCAGTTGAATTTGGTATGCATTTTGCTTCAATATTGGAGACAAACCTTATATGCTCAGAAATGCCAGACAGCATTGTAAATATCGGGGTTTAACCTCACGTAAAAATATAACAAACAAGTCTTATCTCCCAAATGCGGGCAAATGATCAATGATTACAATTCATGTATACTGAGTACAAGTATTTTAACATACCTCATTTTATTTCTATACTTTCTGTCTTCTGATAGTTTTTGGTTAGAAAAAAAATACTTGCCCTTTCAAAGCATGCAAAAGATTTGGAACAAAATATGCGAAAGATCATATATGTATGATCATAGGGTTATATACATCCACCGTCTATAACAAATGAATATAAATGATGATAGATCATGCATTTTTTTTGTCAGACCATGCATTTTCTTTGTCAGATCAAAATTATAGCTCATGTTTGTTATCTCTACAACTTAATTCAAATTAAACTGAGCTGCTGAACATGTTAAGATTGATACCACTACTCTTTTAGAGCTGTGTTAACATCTCAGATCTGGCCAACACTTCAGCTTTATAGACTTGGCTTTATTTAGACTGGGTTTCTTTCAGACTCAGATTTCTTTGCATTGAGTCATTAAATGGGTTTTATTTAGACTTGACATTTCTGTGCATTTAAGCCTTTGACTTTAGACTCCATGTATATGTATTTAAGCTATTGAATGGATTTCCTGTTGACTTTCTAGATATCTGTGCATTTGAGCTATTCAATGGGTTTCCTTTAGACTCTCCAATCTCAGAACATTTGAACCATTGAACAGGTGTGTTTTTGACTCTCTGGGTTTCTTTACACATGAGCCATTGAATGGGTTCCATTAGACTGTCAGAGTTGATATGCATTAGAGCTATTGAATAGGTTTTCTTTGTGCTCTCCAATTATTCACACATTTGAGCTAATGAATGTGTTTCCTGTAGGTTTTCTAGGTTTGTATGCATCTAAGTTGTTGAATGAATTTTCCTTTCCTTACCATTTAATCCCCCCTTTACAAATTTGAGAATAATTTAGCAAAGAAGGTGGCTGCATACAAACAATGCCAGAGTATTCTTGTCCATTATTGACATACATGTACTTTCTTAACACTGATAATATTCTATATATGAAATATTTCAAAGTTTTCTTTCACATTTAGTTTGTGTGCATTTATGTAGCAGGTGAAGTTCAAAAACATTTTAAGGGAATTAGGTAGTGGGTCAGTCTAATGTTAAGCGAAAGAGGCTTTATAAGTATGACTTGTGGATGATAAATGACTGAAAAATGAGGATATTTAAATTTTAAACCAGGGACTGCTCTGGTGGCCTAGTGGTTATAGTGTCTGCCTCAGATGCTGGAGATCGTAGGTTTGAACTCTGTCCAAGTCATACCCAGGACTTGTTTTTTAAAAAATGGTACTAACAGCTGCCTCACAATAAGAAGTTAGTTTAAGCCTGGTGTCAGGATAATGTGATTGGGTGGGATATCATACTACATGTTTTTTTTAGCATGATGACCCAGTGCTAGCCATCACTATAAACTGCCACACAACAGACATCAGTGATATGACTGAAATTTTTTTAAAGCTGCATTAAAATTCAAAATCACACACACACACACAAAGACAAACTATAAAACATGTCAGATGAGAAAAGGGACAAATCGATAGTGCCTTGCAGAATGTAAAGAAAAGATAAAGATGTTATATATCACTCATATCATCTTGTTGCAAGATTTGGAGGTGACTTTTAAGATTACTGAGTGAAAGGTAAGATATTTGGACTAGTTGGATGTCATGTTCATAATTTGTCATTGTATTCTGGTGCAAATCCACATGAATTTTGCCCATTGGTCACAAATTTGAACCAGTTACTGCTCCAGGTTAGTAGTAAAAATAAAAGTACATTTCTAATTGTTTTTTTTTAAATATAATTCTGGAGTGCGATATAATTTTGATTGCTCTTTTAACAATGCTTTATGGCTCCTTAAATTACTTCGCTGGTGGCCTAGTGGTTAGAGCATCCACCTCTAATGCGGGAGGCTGTGGGTTTAAACTTTGGCTGAGTCATACCAAAGACTTTAGGGGGCACCGAGTGGCCGAGTGGTATAAAGCGCTGGTGAATTGTGGATATGTGAGAAAGCTTGCCAATAGCTTCTCATGGTTTGGTGGTTCTTTCCGCAGATATCCTGGTTTTTTTTTTCCTCTACCATTAATAATGGCCACCATGTATAGCCTATTGTGTGCAGAAAAATGGCGTTAAGCCCCAGAACAACAACAGCAACAACCAAAGACTTTAAAAATTGGTACTTACAATTGCCTCACTTGGCGCTTAGCTTTAAGAGGTTAGTGTTAGGTTTGGTCAGCCTGGTCTCAGGATAAGATGACTGGATGGGACATCATGCCACATGTCTGCGGCATGATGCCCCAGTGCTAGCTAACATCACTATAAACTGCCACCCTGCAGTCATCATAGCGATATGACTGAAAAATTGTTAAAGTTATGTTAAAAATCTAAATCACACACAAATGCACCCTTAAATTATGCTTTATTGCCCCCTTGATTGTGTATCTGCATCTAGCAATACATTACAGCCATGAATCTCTAATACATATTGACAGTATTGCCTACGCTAAACAGAGTTCAATTTCTATTTGATACAGATGGCAAAAAGCTTGAGAAGCAAGTGGAAGAGGAAGATGAGAAATGTGAGAAGAGAAAAGTTTGCCAAGAAGGAGCTGGAACAGCTGAAGAAAACTGTTGCTGCAGGAGATTCTGGCATGACAGAGATGAAAGAAATTTACACAGGTTTTAAAAAAAATATAGATGTTGATGAAAGGATAGAGTTACTTATATTGTCATGGAATGTGTCCCACTTACAACACTGGAATAATAGGAATAATGAAATGGAAATAGACATTGGGAATATTGATGAATTAAATTCTGTAAATGACATGGGAATACATGAAATATATTTTGTAAGTTACTTGGCGATAAATACATAAGAACAAATGACAACACGCACTTGTATTTTTCTTATTATTAGCAACATAAACTCCTCCCACATTTCATCAATGAGCAACATAGTGGCAGTATACTGATCTAATTGGAATAGAATGGTGTAGCATAGATAGTAATCCATTTTGTGAAGGAATGGAGTTACTTTTGAAGAAGTCATGCTGCCAAGGAAAAGAAATCACCAAAAAATTGCATGACATTTTTATTAAAATTGGACGTTTGTGGCAATAAGGAATCTTCATGCCTTGGTATATTATGCATGTTCTGTACCAAGTGATGATTCCAGGTGCAATCATCTTATAACAGATGTGCTACTACTCAATGAAGGCTCTTTGACATAAAATTAAATCAGTAGAGCTTTCCCTTAAGAAATTCATTTGGAAGAGAAATATCTTAGGATTTATTTTTTTAAAATCTATTATTTAGATTACCATTTAGATCGTTTCAATTAAATGTTGTTTGTTTTATATATAAACTTTGACAAAACTCAAGGAAGCACACTCTGTGATTGTATAAAAAAAACTTTAATTGTAATGGTAGGGTCTGTAAGCATTGCTGTATATAAGCATTATATTATTATAATTATTATTATATTATTATAAGCATTATATTATTGTAAAGACTAACTGCTTGTCTGGTAGCTTTGTGAGGCCAAGTGGTCTAAAGCGCTTACCATTACGGATCACTGCCATCTCACCTCTGTGTGAGTTTAAGTCCAGACTCAGCTAACATGGGTAAGTGAGAAAGCCTGCCAGTAGCTTCTCGTGGGACGGGGGTTCTTCCCGAGGTTTTCCAGAGTTCTTCCTCCACCATTAATACTGGTCGCCATGTATAGCCTATCTTGTGCTGAAAAATGGAGTTAAACCCTACAACAACAACAACAAAAACAAAAAAAAGAATACACTAGCCATCTTTTTTATATAATTGACAAGGTAGGGTTGATGTATATAATAGAAAGGAAGTCAATGTTTCCCTTTACCTTCATATTTGCTTCAGAGACCCCCACATTTTTAATTTGAAAACCCACTTTTGTTATCAAGATTTTGACTTGCAGTTTGGCACCTCTATAGAGATACACTGGGAAGCTAAGCATCATATTGTAAAGGCTCACTGCATGGCTAAAAGAGTACACTAGTCACTGTCATCTCTGACTACTCTGGTGGCCTTTTGGCTTGAGCATCTGCCGCAGATGCGGGAGGTCACAGGTTTAAATCCTGGCTGAGTCATACCAAAGACTTCTAAAAATGGTACTTGCAGTTGCCTCACTTGGCGCACAGCATTAAGAGGTTGGTGCTGGATCTGGTCAGCCAGGTGTCAGGATAATGTGACTGGGTGGGACATCATGCTCCATGTCTGCAGCATAATACCCCAGTGCTAGACATCACTAAAAATTGTTATACTGTAGACATGGTAGCGATATATCTGCAGAATTGATAAAGCTATTTTAAAAATCCAAATCACACACACAGTGATCTCTGCTGCTCAGTCTAGCTGAGTACCACATAAATTTTTGTAAAGCATCTGCACCATTATTTGTTTAAAGTTAAGAAATTATTGCATAGAATGACATTTTGATAATTTGATGCCACAGTATGATTTAGTAGTTGTTAATGGAAGCAAAAGTTTCAGCCCAAGATATCATATAGTTTGTGTCTTAAATTACAAAACATCTATGACATGGAACTTGGTATGTTGCACTGATAGATGACATTGTAAAAGTTATATGCTTTGATTATTTAGATGATGCTTAAGAGTCATTTTTGTTAGGGTCTTGAATTTGTTTTTAACAGAAATAAACTAGGGGACTTCATTCTGTAATAGTATGTATGAATCATTACAAACATGAGTGAATGTTTGAGAAAGAACACCCAGGTGTTAACTACTATATTGATTATAGGATCTGTTTAGTACTAAACTGATGAAAGAAGGTAGGAGTAAGAATATTGGTCTGATGTATACTCGCTTATAAGCAGAGTCAAACAACAAATACTCAGATCTGCCTTGGCATAATGTCCAGGTCTGTGTTGTTTGTTCTAGTGATTACTTGTCAAACTGCACAGACCCAGATGTGCTGTTGCATTATGCAACAGAAGATGGGTCTGTGCATTTTGCAGTTGGATTTGTAAGCAAGTACATATTGTACTAATCTTAACTGTATAAGGCTATATTGGTAAATTGTGTTCAAAAAAAAAGATTATAAAGTTGTCCAGAAACCAGCATTTATAATCAGTACTATAAACCATGTGTATAAAGTAGCTTTGTCTTGAGTTATGAATTTTATTTGATCTCTTGTTTATTGTCATGATTTATCAGATTGACAAAAAATTTTTACAATTCGTTCACAATAAAGAATGCATTACCCTGTTATCTATTTGTATACATCTCTCGAGATTTTTCATATCTCCATTCTGAAGAAAGAAATTGAGAGGATTAAGAAAAGAAACCTCCACATTCTTAGCTTGTATCAATAAACTTCTGTTTCTAACATAAAACTATCATACATATTTCATACTGTCTAAATACTCATAGATCTTACTCAGAAAATTAATGCATTTTTAAGTATCATTAAATTATTTGTATTATTCTTATGTTAAGGATTTAAACAAATTCTCAAAGGCTCTCTAAATATTGTTAAAATGCATACAAAAATATAAAAACATTGTATCTTTGTGGGTATATGTTAGAAATATTGTTCTTTTTTACTTGCATTCCAATAGGTTTTTTTACATTAAAATTACTAGTTTCATTATATTTCTGCAAATTTTTGTCAAGTGCAATGATGTGACTTTCATGCTTAAATATTGAACTTCAAGATTTCCAACCATGATGTCCAGCACTTCCAAAAATTCTTTTTTAATGGAAGTCATACCTGAATATCAATTTCACATTTTTACAAAACTAATACTAGTAACAATATGGGTAATAATAAACAGTAATAATATACATAATAATGATGACTTTATACTTGACATAACCAGTAATAATATAGTAATAATGATGACTGTATACTTGACAAGCACACTATGGTCACCCAGATCATATTTCCTTAGATTTCAAACTTCTCCCAATAGTGCTTTAAAAGAGAAATACCATGTATACTTGCTTATAAGACAAGTTCAAATGCAAACTACACAAACCCAGATCTGCTATCACATAATGTGTGGCAGATCTGGATCTGTGCAGTTTGTTAAGAGTAACCAGTAGAACCAACATTATAGACCCTAATCTGCAGGCACATTATGCTATGGCAGATTAGGATCTATGTTTTTTGCCAGGTTACTTAACATATAAGCCAGTATATATGGTATGTTCTCCATATAATGTTGATCTACTTTGAATTGGTAAAAACCCTTTCAACTTGGCATCAGGGGCATCTAGAATT